AGATACTTTCTTAGAAGTTTAGTAATAGTTTTATAACGCTTAATAGAACTAAGTAATAAAAGTTAAAGAGAAAAATATAGTATAGTATTATATAACTAGTTTATAGTGTATATTATAATTTTTTTTAATAGATAGATAGGTATCTTCTCTAATTAATCCTTTATACTAATTAAAATTTAGCTTACTTCTACCTCCATTATAGGTCGTCTCTATATTCTTTTAAGCTTAATTACGTATCGTGCTATAATATAAAATAAAGATATAAACTATACTTATTTAAAACTATATATAAATTTGGTAGAGGTTTTTTATAAGTTCTCTTAAGAAATAGATATAGTAGTTAAGTAAGAGAGCTTAGTAGATAGCTTATAATATAGTACTAATATAGAAAAAACTTAGTTATCTTAAAGCTATAATTACTAAAGTAATAAAGTAAAAAATTTATAAAAGATACTATATATAAATAGAGAAGTTATAGATAGTAAGCTAGATAGCTAATTAGATTACTAAGATAAAGAGTAGTAGCTATAATAATAGTATAATATCTATAAAGAGAGTATATAATAAATACTACTATAAATATCATAGCTAAATTAGATATGACCTTTATACTTATTAAGTAGAATTAAAGAATATAAAGAATAATAACGCGTCTAAAAAATAATATCTTATTCTGCTTAATAAAAAATATGATAGTAGTGTTGTGTAATACTATTATAAAGATAAAATAGTCTAGGGAGGTAGCCTATATACTAGGGTGGCCCGCTTACTAGTGAAACTTGTTAGTCTATTAGCTATATTTTATATATTATCTTTTCTATAAGATATCTCTTAGTTAGTCTTAACTATTATATACTTAGTAATAGTCTTATTATCTAGTTTTACTTAATATTTTACTAGTAGCTTCTAATTACTTTAAATCTATTATTTTGCTTATTAATACTAGTTTATTATTTATTAGATATCATAGATAGTAGTAGCGCGTTATTTACTTTCAATATTTTATAAATAAGATTAGTAATAATAAGAAAAAGATCTATTGTTATATAGATTTTTTATATATTACGTAATTTAGATATTACGCGTTATTATTATAAAGGTAAATAATTATAAGGAGGTAGACTATATACTAGGGTGGGCCGCTTGCTAGTAACATACGTTATAAGAAATAAGATACTATATAAATTCAGTTATTAAAATTACAACAATCTTCTTTTTTTAAGCCTAAATCACTATTCGATGTATTAGAAGGTTACTTAAAACCTACCTCAAATTCTAATACTTAATAATTATTCTTAGTTATATAACTTAACGCTATTAAATATATGAGATAGATAGTTATAAGTATTACACTAGGTATTGGTGTAAATTAGCTTCTTATGACGAAAGGCAATAGTACGCGTTAATCTCGGTAGCGTTTACCCATAAACCCCACATAGTAGTCTATGCCTTTGTTTGCCACTCCAGCGCTCAATACTCGCCCGCCCAACCCGATCAACATTTGTGACACATACATGAGGCCATAGCCACAAGATATTATTACCGCAACCCCCAAGCGCAAGTCGTGTGACTGTCGGGCCAGCATTGCGGACCTAAAGGTGGTCTAGCTGCTGCGCTAGAAAGTCGTGTATTTCTTCCACAAAATCTTGTATAGCTGAGTAGACTGATATCAACATCTCTGCTAACTGCCCCAGTGATACCTAAGTCTTCAACCACCATGAATGCGCCAACAGCCTCGACCACTAAACCTACCGCTTCGAGCGCTGGCCCTTCACCTACAAACGGTCGGTACGATTTAGGATGTACAATCAATAAATACATACACAAATACGTTCCGTGCGATGCTAATGGCAAGATTTTCCTTAGTTCTGAGTTCAGTGGCTGCTTCTCGAGAGAAGGCTGGTGTGGTAGTTCGATCAACTACTAGGAAACCACCCGTTCGTCCTTGTTTGGCACCTGCACCACTGTCGCTAATAATATCTCAATCGATGCTCAATACGGAAGAAATGGAAACACCTGTCAAGGCTCTGGTTTCGGTAACTGCTGCCTATTGCGACGGGCAAAAAGGTTGCCAAGGAGCATCTGATGGCTGTTTCACAAGCTCTAGGGTTTATAACCACGTTGAGTCTCTTTATCTCCTGTTACTTATAGTGAACCCAGTAATATGTTGCTATAAATCCGAATGCGATGCACGCTACGGCTAATTTCCGAAATACGAAGCACGCATGACCATCCAGTGTATACATGCGGGGAACCTGTCAAAACACCTACCTAAGCAAGGCGAACATGCGAAGATCCCAGCGGGGTAACCTATATTGAATCGAAGATGCCTTGGCTAAGCAGCCGAAGAGATCTGCAGATATACAAGCATGTGACAAACGTAATTTGTACAAGTACAAAGAGGTCGAGGACATCACACGAGTGGCCATTTGAAATTTATGATGCACACTGTCGAGGCCAAGATGTCGCATTACCTGCCAATTCTCCACTTTGGCATTATTGTACTTCTTTTTCCCCACCTAAGCGTCTTCGCTGTTCCATCAGGATACGATGCAGCCTCTCAGTTGGAAACACGAGCAGCCCCCTCAGGCATTAGTATTGACGCCGCTACATTGACTTCCAAATGGCTTGAGGGCTCAGATAAAGTTCAGATCATCGAAATGGTCCTCACCAACCATGACAAAGCAGAGCCCTTCACCAAAGCTGAAAATCTGACCATCACTGCGTCTTCTACATCTTTTGATCTTGTCCAGCCGGCCAGAATTACACGGCTTATGGTTGGACAGCAAGTTGTGGCGCAAATTGGCATCAGGAATAAGGCAGGGGTCGCCCCTGGAGATATATGTTCAGCAACTATATCTGCCGAATGGATTGGTGGAAAGACAACGTCCAAGAACATCACTGGATCTTGCGGTTTCGGTGACTATAGTGCAAGCAAGGCCAGTCTTAATACGCACTGGACTCCTGACTGGTATAACAATGCTAAATTTGGCATCTTTATTCACTGGGGTGTCTACTCTGTCCCGGCGTTTGGCAATGTGGGCAACAAGGAAGACTATGCTGAATGGTATTGGATGCGCATGACACAGCCAAACTATAAGTCTCAGACGTACCAGCACCATAGAGACACATATGGTGACAATTTCAACTACGATGATTTTATTCCTTCCTTCACCGGAGACGAATTCAATGCGAAGGAGTGGGTGGATCTCATGGCAGAGGCTGGAGCAAAGTATATGGTTCCTGTGACAAGTAAGTTAATGCTGAGAGTAGGTGAGTCGAGTCTGACAATCTCTAGAACACCATGAAGGCTTTGCGATATTCGATGTGCCCAATTCGACAAGTTTGCGATCTTCTGTGCAACTTGGACCGAAGCGTGATTTCCTAGCAGAACTTATGAATGCAGCGAAAACGTATCATCCAGATATCAGACGGGGAACATACTTTTCCATGCCCGAGTGGTTCAATCCAGACTACTCAAAATATGCCACAGATTGCTGTGGTGGCTTCCCTGGCGGGCCCCCCAAGAATCCTTACACTGGCGTCGAGGTTCCCTATACCGGCCACGTACCCGTAGCCGACTACGTAACAGACCTACAGCTACCCCAAATGGAGACACTTGCCTACGACCCACGGTATGAGACTGAGATAATGTGGTGTGATATTGGAGGTGCCAACAATGCCACAATCATGCTGTCCAAATGGCTGAACTGGGCGCGAGACCAGGGCCGCCAAGTTACATACAATAACCGCTGCGGATACGGCTCTACAGACCATGGTGACGCTAGTGGTGGCGACTTCACAACACCTGAATACGTCACAAACGGCAACGTAGTTGTAAGTAAGTGGGAGACAAACCGTGGTATGGATCCATTCTCGTTTGGATACAACAAGGACACGCCCGATGCCGGATACCTAACTGGAATCGACATTGTTAAGACACTTGTCGACGTTGTATCCAAGAATGGCAATTTCTTGCTTGACATCGGCCCAATGGCAAATGGCACGATCCCACAGATTATGCAGAAAGGGCTGAAGGATGCGGGGAAGTGGATCAAGGAACGTGGTGAATCTATTTACGATACGCGCTTCTGGCAGACTACAAGTGGAAAGGGAAGTTTTCGATACACTATTAGTGACTCTGCGTTTTACATCCACGTTTTGGATAAGCCGAACTCGACGCTTTTGATCCCCGATGCGATCCCGTTTTTGAATGGTGATAGTGTACAGGTTTTGGGTGGTGGAATGTCGGGCACAGAGGTACCGTCTACGAAGAATGAAAACGGAACGGTATCCCTTAGACTAGACGATGCAATCTTGTCGTCGGATAGATATGTTTGGACTTTCAAGGTTATTTATCAATCATAGAGGGGAGGGGAGAGTAGATAACATTATCAAGTGTTCCTGGCTTTTGTCCAAAGGCTAGTAATTATATACTACATTCTTTCTAATCTATATGCTAGAGAGCAAACAGTACTAATCCTATAAACAACTAAGCTCGAAACAGGGAAGAACGCTGTTATAAAGTCGTGACTAACTCACTGTCCGCTGTTTGATTGATTACATAGATCTGTGCGATCTCTGATGTTGTTCAATTCGGGCCCTGCCGGCATCTCGCACGCGACTCCAGCACTCATTTCATGTGGGCCGCGAATGTAAGTATAATTATCTAGCCGCGCAGCTAGCTCGGCAGCTGGAGCTTCAGAATCCATCTCTCCAGAGATCATGTTCCCATCCTTCTCAGCATGGGGGCGTGGAGCGCCATCAATCTGATGAATACCGGGCATGCTGTACAATTGTTGATGGCGGCGTTTGCGCATGAGAAAGAAAATGGAAGCAACGATAACCACGAGCCCAATAACACCGCCCACTGCAGCACCGGAGATTGTCCCACTCGATGTCTTGTTTGGATTTTTTGCCGCAGCCGTTGTGTCCCTTAGCGTCACGGTACTTGACAACGAAGATGCTATCTCAGCTGGTGAGAACTTGCTGTATATCGACGTAGATATCGCAGCGTTACAACCAACAGGGGGAATGCTGTTGGCGAAACCATCAATGGGGTGCGCATAAGCATTGGACCCACTTGTACTAGCCGCCCATAGCTGTAAGCGCGTCGAGCCGTCTGTATCATACGCCACCACTGTTTCCGTTGCACCGACTGTGAAGGGGCTGTAACATGTGCCGCCGTAGGCTGGACGACTGTCTATAACTGGGTCTTCAGGTGGAGTGAGCTTGTACCCACTGCGATTATCAGCTGCAACTCGGCAAAGGAAAATGACTTAGGGTGTGACTTACAATGGACAGCATGCCATGTACTCACCCCGGACAAACTCAACACAATAGTCCTGCGGACATACTAATGGACTCATGATAGGGACCATACTTGATCCGAGAGTCCCAGAAGTCACCGACGTATAGCTCTGGAGGAATTCGCTCGGGTAACAGTCCGAGAATGTTGTGTTTTCGAATGGGACTGGCTCATTGGCCCAGATAAGATAAACAGGCGGCGGTTGTATTGTCAATCTGTTCGAGGTACATGATGCTGGCGGAGTGAATGTCGTTGATAAGGCTATTGTCGTTGTCGGTTGTCTAGGCTGAGAAGACGCTGACGCGCTTGCCACTGTTTCTGTAGCCTGTTGACCTCGAACCCTCATATGTGCCATGGCTTCCGGATCTCAGAGAGTCGTTTCGACTTTGACGTGGACCGTTTGCTGACTTGCCCAATTGAATGACAAGATGGATGTATCGTTCGAGACAGCAAAGATAGCAAAATCGCTTTAATGCCTTCGCAAATCATCAAGTGGAGCAACAGGCATTATTTATTCGCAGTGAAAGTACCGCCTAGGGTGTTCACGTATGAAGGGTGAAGGATCAGTTTCTCTCCCCTGATACTCGTCTCAAGCATACCAGGCGTGATGTAGTTCGTCCGATATTTCGCCGTGCCGTCCACAAGCGCCTAAGACTATATAATTTAAGGGAAAAGCAGGAGTCGGGAGGCCGACTCAGATAGGCCCCACACATGAGGTGCGCTCTGACATTCGCTAAATCTTTCTTGCCTAATAAGCTATACTTAGTTCATGCACATCTCCGCGCAAACGGGTATCGCCTCCATCTGCACCATGTTTTGGTCAATTTGGGATACAAAGCTGAACTGTGTGTTTGAGATCTTTTGTAGCCTATCGTGTAGCCGTATCAAAGTTCTGGTTTCTCTATCATGCGTACCGATCAAATATAAAACGGGTGACTTATATGCAAAGCTATTGGTTCTATCGGTACCAGCACGTCTCGCCAATTCTAGCGTGGACAGTTCGGAAAAGCATTCCGTCATTTGATAGTTGCTGAATCATACTAGTAGGAGATTTCTAAGTAAAGCTTATATTATTGGTCGTTCGCCTCGGAGACGCTAGCGTCTAGCATGATTCTGATGATTGAAGACTGTTCTAAAAGCTTACGTCATTTCTAATCCAAATCAGCCAGTTAACACGCGATACTAAGCCAGTTCTGAAATTATCTGTAGGCCCAGCTCTGTAGCCTCTGCAACCGCTACCGCAGGCTCTGTAGAGGTTTTCATATTTGCACTGAGCTCTACCTTCAGCCACATCCTTCCACTCTATTTTCCAGGGCCACAGGACATTCTTTTGTAGTTTCCTCGATGGTACGGACATCCATGATCTGGCGTGATTTCCTAGCCACTTTAAGGTACAGTTTGGAAGAATATAGCGTTAGCGTGAAAACCTGATTACGAGGGACAGGTTTGTGTCATCAATGCGTGATATAGCTGATTGTTCAGATGAGGGTGTTGGGCTTATGACAAACATAGAACAAGGGCTGGGTTTACGGAGGTTAGGTGCGAGAATATCGCGTGACTGAAAAGCTTACATTGCTTCCATAAAGCTTAGCTCGAGAGTTACCGATGCCTTGTGGCATGTTGGTGTATGTATGATGGCAATCGACCCGTTCCTCCTGATATTTCCTTTTGAGGCAGATGATATGTGATAGAATCACCTTCAATCCTGAGCTAAGCTTGTATAGACCTTTACCATCATTCTCGGTTCTTCAACGCCGGTTGGCTCTGCTCCGCTCAGATGATTTGTACTTCGTCCTATCTAGACTTTACGCAAGGATCCGCTCTAGGGATTCATTTCTGTTATATTGTACGAGATTGGATAAATTTGCTTACAGATGTCTTTAAGAGGTCACCTTGCAACCGCAGTTTCCCTGAGACATGTACACTCTTTCGTGAAGCCCTGACTGTATACATTAGCTAAACATCTTTATCAGCATGTAAATACCCCATTGTGGGAGGGTCTCTGTCAATAGTTCGGAAAAGGCAGCAAGCTGTATCGCGGCGAAGTTTATTACTGAATCGTTGGGCGACATATGGTGGTGATTTTCTCAAGGCAATCTAATCTTCAGGGCTGTTCTCCCCTAACAACGTTGAATCGTTCTACCTGCTTCTCCACCTCAACAAAGTGCAAGTCCTTCGACAGAGTCAATCCCTCTACCGCTCTCGCCGCCGAAAGTTCCAACCTTTCTCCTGTTCTTCTATACCCCCTCTTCTCGTACCACTCAATCAGCAAGCACCTCGTACTAAGCGCATTCAAGCCGAACGTCTTAGTATCCCATGTGTTGACAGCGTAATATTCGGCCTGCTCCAGAATGCGGCGTCCTATGCCGACAGCTTGATGTGTTGGGTTCACAGCCAATAGAGCTAATCGAGCAAGATCTTTGGTCCTTTTGATAACTGCTACACCGCCTATGAGGAAATCACTTTCTGTGGTGGCTATGAGAAAGGCAGCATTGGAATTATCGATAATCGTGAGGATATCTTCAGGGGCCACGGTAAAGTTGCGATTGAGCTCGACGTCGGGCCCCGTCCACTTGATGTCCAGGCGTTGGAAGGCGGCTTGTACTAGCCAGGCAATTCGGGAAGAATCATCTGACCTTGCGACCCTGAAATAGATCTGGTTATCGAAATGCTCTTTGTCGAGTCGGTTCATCTTTCGAGGAAATGGCTGGGTAATGCTGAGAACAGCTCGGAGATTTTGCTGTGCTTGTGAAAAAAAGCGTAGTCAGGATTTGTATGTTTTGTGCACTTGGGGTGCACGACGATTTTGGAACCATAAATAGCTAGCACCGACACTCAACTATATATAGCGCTTTTTGTGACTCGTTAAGTGTGTCGTATCTATCAGAACCTGTCAAACGTGCCTTTGCGGTCGAGACTACCGGGAGTTGGTAATGTGTATATGCACTTAATGCGCAGAGTACCGAAAAATGGCTAGACCAAAGCTGAGGCTTCAGCGACATATATACTAACCAATGTTGAAGAAAAAAAAGACAACCAGAGCATTCTCTATACGTATATCGAACTAGTCCCTTGCCTTGAACTTCTTGTAAGAAGCGATTTCGCGGCGGCCAGAGTTGATGACAGGTAGCGGTGGTGGAGAACGTAGTCCATCAATAGCATGATTGCCAGCAAGGTACAGCTCCAGGGTTCAGAAAATAACACCCTATGCTACTCTGCAACACATATCTAAGCGGAAAGCCACATCTCCTGTGGAACTGTGAAAGCCTTGGCAAAAGCCATGCAAACTATGCACAAACTACTATTCCGTCCAATTAGAATTTCTGCATCAGGACTTCCGCTAACGAAGCTACGCATACCAGCATTTATGGGCCGAGATAAAGGGCCCTCCGATTCGAGTGTGCTCAAGTCATCCTGGATGCGAGCGAGCCAATGAGCAAACGACAGTGTGAATTACTTTGCCCAACGACGCTTGCAATATGTGCGAACAAGTCACAAAACCTACCCTGCCAGAGAGGCGGCTGAAGTACCATGCCGTCTCTGTGTACCACTGCAAAGCTCGTCCCGAGCGAGATTTGGGCCACGTTCATGAGCATGCTATCGTTAGCGATTGGCTCGCTCGCGCTTTAGGTGACGTAAGTCCGTGCGCATGCTGCACCGGCATGCATCGATCCAGCATGCCGAAGTACGGCCTGTACTCCTAAAATGAGCAGCTCTTAGGGGCTTAACATACCGTTAGGCTTTCCTAAAATCTTCCGGTATCAAGTCGTTCTGAGACAACCCACACAACGTTGCATTAAAGTACAGTCAACCTTTTAAATCATGAAGCTAACGCCAATAAGTACCTAAAGAAGTACTTGGGGTGAAAAGTACATGGTCATAGTCTTTGTCAGGGGACAAAAAGTAAAAATCCTGTATCCTTCTTCGCTCTTTGCCGACGACTGCTAGTTTGATTGTCTACAGTCGGCTTCCATGTCGCCTGAAAAAATTGAACAAAGCCATCGAGACGGCAGGCACGCCGATTCGTCTACCAAAGACAGGCGAACTTCATCAACTAGATCATTTTACCTTCCAATGAGCGGTGCGCTGCAAGGGTTATGTCTCTATCGTGATGGATGCACTGGGCGCCTAAGAATTGAGCATCACACTCACCCCGCTGCTTGCTAGATATGGATAGATTGATCCAGATGCATCAACACAGAGAGAATCTCTAGGCCTGCAGAACGTTCGCAAAGCTCTAGAGTTTCCAGCCTCGAATCCTGAGATTCAAGGGCAAGTAGCGGTGTTGTAAGCGGATACTGCGTGTGGTCAGTGCGTGCAACAGTTCAGCCAATACAACACTATCTGCCCAATTAAAATACCTACCTACTATTTTTAATACGTAATATCTCTACTACTATAATAGCTATTAGGAAAGTAATTATAGTAATTAATTTATAAGATATAGAAGGTTAACTTTTATACTATATAGCTAGAAAAAAGTTTAGTATTAAGATTTTAATATTAACGCGCTAGTACTAAAATAAAATATAGTTACAGGATGTAGCTATAAAAAAAAATTACTACTTACTCTACTATAAGAATCAAAGCATATAAAATATATAGAAAGACTATTAAAATATAGCCTTTTATTTTCTTAATTAATAGTTAAAAATTATATAGCTATTATTATAGAAGAGAAGCTCTTTAATAGCTAAATTACTTATCTTTTATACTATTACTATAATACCTTATATATTAAAAAAGCTACTAATATTAACTATATAGAAAAACTATTAAAATATAGTCTACTACTTTCTTAATTAATAGTTAAAAATTATATAGC